TGATGGGGGTGGAAGAGGGAAAATCTAAGATCCGTTAGATTTCTTGGAGGAATTTGTGTAAAAGTAAGCATGAAGGGGGCATGGGGTTTCGCCGCTTTGAGCATTTCAACCAAGCTTTGTTAGCTAAAATTGGTTGGCGTATCCTTGAGGAACTCCAGTCCCTTATTGCGCAGGTGTACAAAGGTAAATATTTCCCCAATGGGACGTTTCTCACTGCTCAGGCCCGGTCTCGTCCCTCTTGGGGGTGGCAAAGTATCCTCTTTGGCCGTCAATTGTTGGAATCAGGGTTGCGATGGCAAATTGGGAATGGCCAGAAGGCTTCTCTGCTAACATCCAGTTGGATTCCCCAGCAACATCCCCGTCACCCAGTCTATGACCCGTGCGTGGTTCCTGATGGTGAGGGTTTGAAGGTGGAGGAGGTGATCCACCAAGGGGAGGGACGATGGAATGATCAAAAACTCAGTCAATGGTTTGATCCAGTTACCTGTAAAGCCATTAAGACCATCCCTTTGTCGTGCCAGAATATTGAGGATAAATTGATATGGCATCCGACTTCTTATGGAATTTTCTCAGTTAAATCTGCGTACTACGTCGCAGTGAATTTGGATCGTCAGAATGGTTGTTGGAGGGCTTTGGCTAGTTTGATGGATAAGCCAAGTTGGATCAGGCTGTGGGAGGTGGATATTCCTCTGAAGCTTAGGGTGTTTGTATGGCAAATCTTTCATAGAATTTTTCCTACTACGGAAGCGTTGCGTGAAAAGAAGGTGGACGTTTTGCCTCGATGTTCGGTGTGCTGGGAGGCATCGGAAACTCTGGAACATATGTTCTTGGAGTGTCTGGTGGCCTGTGCATTGTGGGATCATTCTGTGCTAGCCCACCTAGGTGAAGGTTTGCCTCACAATACATTCCCGCTCTTTCTGAAGAAATTGTTGGCTGTGGTGCATAACCCTGCTTTGGTGATGTCTGTAGTGGTTGTTCTGTGGCGGATTTGGCGCTGCCGTAATTGGGTGGTCTTTAAAGGAAAACAGTTCGAGATCCCTGCCTTGATGCGACAATTCCACCAACAAGTCCAGGAATGGCTTAGCTTACCCCGGGACCAGACTGATCAGCTTGAGCGCCCCCCTGCCCATACTGTAACTTCTGATGGAGCTGACACGACAATTTGTATGTGGGATGGGGCTGTGCGGTTGGGATCTCATGCGACAGGGGGGATGGTTATCCTCAATTCTGATAGAGCGGTCATCCTTGCGAAGGGGGTTCATTTCCCGTTCCTTGGTGATCCAATGATGGTGGAAGCTTTGGTCCTCCGGGAGGCGATTGGTTGGTGCTTGGCAAATGGATTCACTGTCATGAGGTTTGAAGGTGATGCCCAGGTAATGATTGAGAAGATTCTCCGGAAGGATGTTCGGGATAATCATATAGGGGCAATTCTGGAGGAAATAGTCAATTTATTTGTTTCAAACATAGGTTTCACTGTATGATTTGTAGGTCGACGAAACAATAGGGTAGCTCATTTGGTAGCTAGACAGGCCCTGTCTTTGTTCCCGACTACGTGTCGATCGTTTGATTTCCAGGCCTGGCGGTATTCCAGGATGTAACGATCTATTGGTTTCAATCTAATGATTATCTTTTGTAAAAAAAAGGGTATTTTGTGCTAAAATTGTAGTTAAAAAATGGTTAAATATGCCTTGACACGTTGCTCCAAACCGAGCCTCGATTTATGTTCACAAAAACCAAAAATTGTAAAACCATAACCTAAGTTCGTACCAGAAAAGTTAGCATTACCATATTTTGTGCTAAAATCTTAGTTCAATCGGGGTTAAAATCAGGCTTTACACATTGTTCCAACCTGAGTCTCGATTTATGTTTAGAAAAAAAATCCAAAAGTTGTAAAACCATATCGAAGGTCGTACCGGTAAAGTTAACATTATGGTGTTTTTTACTAAAATCGTTGCTTCAACCCGATCCTCGATGCATGTTCAGAATAAATCAAAAATTGTAAAACAATACCAAAGGTCATATCGAAAACGTTAGCATTATGTAATTTTTGTGTTGAAATTGTAGTTCAGTCGTGTTAAATAATTTCATACAGCTAAAATCACGTACCGATTTAGATTATGTTAGGAGTTTTTCTATTGGACTGCCAGTACGGTACAATCGTAGTTCAACCGTGATTAAATCAGGCTAGACACATTGCTGCAACCCAAGCCTCGATTTATGTTAAGAAAAAACCTAAAATTGTAAAACCATACAGAATGTTATACCAGTAAAGTTAGTATTAGGGTATTTTGTGCTAAAATTGTAGTTCAATTGTGGTTAAATCAGGCTTTACCTGTTGCTCCAACCCTAGCATCGATCTATGTCCAGAAAAACAAAAAATTGTAAAATCATATCTAAGGTTGTACTGCAAAATTTAGCATTAGAGTACTTTGTACTAAAATTATAATTCAATCGTGGTTAAAATCAGGTTTGACACGTTGCTCCAACCCGAACCTCGATGTACAGAATAAATCCAAAAACTGTAAAACCACACCGAATGTCGTACTAGAAAAGATAGCATTATGATATTTGGTGCTAAAAAACCATATTTCAATCGTTGTTAAATCAGGCTTAACATGTTGCTCCAACCCGAGTCTCGATATATGTTCAGAAAAACCAAAAATTGTAAAACCATATCAAAGGTTGTTCCGGAAAAGATTGCATCAGAATATTTTGTGTTAAAATAGTAGTTCAGACGCGCTATAATCATTACATACAGGTAAAATCACCTACCAATAAGATTCCTTTAGGAGTTTTTCTATTGCATGCTGCTAATTGCGGGCAAAAATCATATACGGGTTACAAGAAAATACTTCTAATCCTATGATAAGCCGCAACGAAGGGCGCACAAAATCTACCTAGTATCAATTAAAGTTGCATTAACATTTTCTGTAGTTCGTTGTAACTACATTACATCGTAAAGACCGAAAGGGTGGAAAATGTACGGGTTGCGTGGGTTTTGATTTCAAATTGACTTACATATTTACTAGCGAGTTGGTGTAATTATAACCCGCTATCTACTTACATTTTTCTTAGGGTTAGGTTGGGTGGGCGGTCAATGGATGCAGTTGGATTGTGGGTTGACCCGCAAAAGCAAATACTCCAACAAGCCATTAACACATTTGACTAGGGCCCGGACAGGGCTCAAGATAGGGTGCATAACCATGGGTTATGCACCCATCAATAACAAAATCTGGACCCTTCATTTAGAAAATTCAGATCTAAGGATTGAGAATTAAAGACTATTTTTATTTTCACTAGCTTTCTTAATTGACTCATATCTTTTTCGTTTTAACTCGGATTTTAATTTTTTTTGCACAGATGGAACGAGTTCACCGTGCTCTACAAAATGAGATCAATTTTCAATATTTTTTTAGGGAAAAAAAATTCTGGCCTCTCGGTACCAACTGCATACCATATGGTATCTTCTTCGTTTTTAATTCGTTTTTGAAAACGTTTGCACAGCAGGAATGAGTTCATCATGATCTACTGGATCTATAAATTTCTGGGTGAACAAATTACAGGACCAAAAAATACCACACAATACCATACAATACCACCCTGGTACGGGGTGGTATTGTATGGTATCTTCTTCGTTTTTAATTCGTTTTTGAAAACGTTTGCACAGAAGGGACGAGTTCATCATGATCTATTGGATCTAAAAATTTCTGGGTGAACAAATTACAGGACCAAAAAATACCATACAATACCACCCTGGTACGGGGTGGTATTGTGTGGTATACAATGTTAAAAGTCGTAAATTACAATTAATATACTTCTACTATCATGTATTCAACCATCCTACAGTATTGGTTTGTTCATACCACCATGGTACGTTTTTCAAAACATAGGTATGCTTTTATTTCAATACCAGTCAATACCATATGGTATAGGCTGGTAAAAAATGGCTCAATTTTTTTTGTTCGAAAAATATATTAAAGTGGATATCATTTTGAAGAGCACAATTAATCTGATCTAACTGTGTAAAAAAATTAAATTTCGACTTAAAATGAGCGAGAAATCGTCCGTCAAAGATTAAAAAGGGAAAAATTAAAGGCTTTCCATGAGAGAGAGGATGCTGATGTCATGCTGATGTGGACGGGTTACTCATGATTACTCACCATAAGGTTACTGACCTGATCCATTCCCCCCGGACAGTATAACAACACTTGACAACCATATTCAATAAAGGTATAAGGGTAAACTTACCTAGAATCTAAATAAATTAAAATTAAATTAAAATATATTTAGCCCACCCACCCTCGTTTCCTTCACACTCCCGCTGGCTCTCGATTCTTCTTCTCCCTACCAGCTTCCCTGTAAAATCAAAACCCTCACCGCGTTTCAACTCCGTCGTCCCTCCGTCATAGCTCAGATCGCGGCCTCCGATGCCCGAGATAAAGAAACACCATCCAATGGTGGAGACGTGCTCCTCTTAACGAGGATCGATTCTGGGCACCGAACTGCCGCCAACCGCCGCTTCTCCCTCCAGACAAGGACGGGGATGATATTCCTTGTGCTTCAGCCGTGGCTTTTGCATCGTCACTCACCGAGCTCGGTGCTATTGTCCTCTCCACCGCCGACCCTTTCGCCAAGTCCAAGCTTTCTCACCGTGCTTTCTCCCGGCGTTCCATGGGAAGATCATTGACCATCTTTGCTTGATCTTCATAATCAATATGTTGAATCCAAACAGGTCGTGCGATTATTATTGGTTTCTGATTGCTTATCGTCTAGATGTCTAATTGCTTTATGAACCTAAGCAGCAGCTCGGTGAGCACTCAAAGTTATTGGTTACAATCTGGAGATAGAAACAATGAGGCATGCGACTAATTCATCATGCGATTGTCACTCTCCCTCCTTACTTAATTATTAAGACAAATTTGCGCTTGACAAAGATAAAAGAATATACTAGACAAGAAATAGGTGGTGCTGTTACTAACAATCTATAGGACCTGGACTTCTCAGAGGATAGCAGGATCTTTGTATCTCTTGAATATGCTCTCGAAATCTGCCTCTACTTCTGGCGATAAAGGCCTCTCTGTGGTGATAAAAGCATTAATGTTTTCTTTGAGTTGGGCAACAGAGGTCGCACCCACAATAGAACTTGTCACGAAAGGACGGTCTCGAACGAATCCCAGGGCTAGCTGAACTGGAGTTAAACCATGCTTCTTTGCCATTTCAATGTAATGTACTGTTGCTTCCTGGTGGGATCAATGAAGAAGGGTCGTTTTGAAGTATAGGGAAAGGAAACTTTGGAATTCAGTTCGATATTATGGTGGGATAGAAAAAAATTTAATGCAAACCACAAACGTCGTAAAGCAAACCACAAAAAAGCAAATAAAAAACCTTCTAATGCAGACCACAAATCCATTAAAACATACCAGAAACCCCACAAATCAAACCATAAACTTTTCGAAAGCCAACTATAAACTTCTTAATTCAAACCAGAAACACAATAAAGCAAACCAGAAACCTCCTAATGCATAACACATATTTCCTAAAACAAACCACAACCCTCACAAAGCAAACCACGACATTTGCGAAAGCACACCAGAAACCTCCTAATGCAAACCACAAACACAGTAAATCAAACCACAAAAAAATACAAACCATAAACGTCATAATGCAGACCACAAATATATTAAAACAAACTAGAAACCTCACAAAGCAAACCACAACATTTGCGAAAGCACAACACAAACCTCCTAATGCAAGACACAAACACAGTAAATCAAACCACAAAAAAGCAAACCATAAACATCCTGATGCAGACCACAAATATATTAAAACAAATCAGAAACGTACAATTCAAACCACACAAAACTTTTGAAAGCAAACCAGAAACTTCTTAATGCAAACCACAAACACGATAAAGCAAACCACAAAAGACATACAAAAATATGAGAAGCCAAACCATAAATCTCACAATGCAGACCATAACATCTGGTGGTCGTTGACCAGTCAACGAAGTTCGTTTACCAAACTCCGATGAACGTCAGTGAGCAGATTCTGATGCCGATAGGCATATTCCGGCCCCGATGACTAGATTTCGATGCCGGTAAGCTTATTCTGACCACTGTGAGCATATTCCGGCGACGGTGGGCATATTCCGACGACAAAATAGCATATTCCGGCGCAAAAAAACATATTCCGGAGACCAAAATTTTGGGCATAAAATAAAAAAAATAGTTTTCATTTTTTATTATTATTTAAACATATTTTTCATAATGACAATTATACCGTTGCTTTGATTTTACACTAGGTCAACTCAGCTAATAAAAAATCATCACAACCCTAGCTTCCTATTGGTTGGGACTAGATACTATAACAACATTCCTTTTGTTGTTATTGTAACAACACTAGTCTCCAACCAATAGGAAGCTAGGATTGTGATGATTTTTTATTAGATGAGTTGACCTAGTGTAAAATCAAAGCAGGGGTATAATTGGCATTATAAAAATGATATTTAAATAATAAAATAAAAATAAAAATAAAAAATTTTATTTTCGGCCCAAAATTTTGGTCGCCGGAATTCGGCCATCGGTCGCCGGTCACCGGAATATGCTTTTTTGTCGCCGAAATATGCTTTTTTGTCATCGGAATATGCCACCGTCGCCGGAATATGCTCACCGTGGTCGGAATATGCTTACCGGCGTCGGAATCTAGTCATCGGGGCCGGAATATGCCTATCGGCGCCGGAATCTACTCACTGACGGTCATCGGAGTTTGGTCAACGATCTTCGTTGACCGGTCAACGACCAACGACCACCGGATGTTATGGTCTGCATTGTGAGATTTATGTTTGGTTTCTCATATTTTTGTATGTCTTTTGTGGTTTGCTTTGTCGTGTTTGTGGTTTGCATTAAGAAGTTTCTGGTTTGCTTTATCGTGTTTGTGGTTTGCATTGAGAAGTTTCTGGTTTGCTTTCAAAGACTTTGTGGTTTGCGTTGTGAGGTTTCTGGTTTGTTTTAACATATTTGTGGTTTGTATTAGGACGTTTATGGTTTTCTTTTTTGTGATTTGATTTACTGTGTTTGTGGTTTGCATTATGAGGTTTCTGGTGTGCTTTCGCAAATGTTGTGGTTTGCATTGTGGGGTTTCTGGTTTGCATTGTGAGGTTTCTGGTTTGTTTTAACATATTTGTGGTTTGTATTAGGACGTTTATGGTTTTCTTTTTTGTGATTTGATTTACTGTGTTTGTGGTTTGCATTATGAGGTTTCTGGTGTGCTTTCGCAAATGTTGTGGTTTGCATTGTGGGGTTTCTGGTTTGTTTTAGGGGATTTGTGGTCTGAATTAGGAGGTTTCTAGTTTGCATTAAGAAGTTTCTAGTATGCTTTCGAAACTTTTGTGGTTTGCTTTGCAAGGTTTCTGGTTTGTTTTAATATATTTGTGGTCTGCATTAGAACGTTTTTGGTTTGCTTTACTGTGTTTGTGGTTTGCATTAGGGGGTTTCTGGTGTGCTTTTCAAAATATTTATGGTTTGCTTTGTAAGGTTTCTGATATGTTTTAGCAAATTTGTGGTTTGCATTAGGAGGTTTACGTTATGTTTTTTGTGGGTTATTTTATTGCGTTTGTGGTTTGCACTAGGGGGTTTTTTGTGTTAGAAATATTTGTGATTAGAATTACTAAACACCAATATAAATTACCTAGCTTCTTGTTGTTGGTGATTAGGTTAGACTAAAAAACGAATGTCAGAAACTTCTAAGGCACACTGTTCCTATTTTGCGCGCCATGTTCTTCTTCTTCTCCAAATGTCGAGGGACTCAGTGTCGAAATGCTCCCATCGAAACGCGACATATGAGATGGAATTCTGCAAATCCTTACTCCATGTTCATGTAAAATTTGGATCAAGTAACTGTTCATGTTAAACTGTTAAACAGTAGTGCTTGAAACATTGTCTTGTCGTTATGTCTTTTTAAGTTCGAATGAAGAGAGAATCCATCATCAAAACTGCAGCATGGAGTTTTGTTTTGGTACTGATCCATGATGTTTGTGTGTTTCTGAATTGATTCCACACTTACTTAACGAAACTCCGGATACCACATCCTGGGAAATTTTGGTGGGAGATTGATTCTGCACATATTTGGTTATGTAAGTACAGGAATGAAATCGTCCACACAAAGTGACAAAAATGGGGACGAAAAAAGGCCTAAGCATTTTCGAGGAGACCAAAGTTTTGGGAGTGCACATGGTAACCATTGACAAACTCGAGTCAACCTGTCCAATTTTCCCTCCTTCCTCAAATAATGCAATCGAGATGCCGGGGGGAATCATGGAAAGTCCACTATTAGCGGTGGGGTTCAGATCAGCGGCGGCTGCGGTGGGGCCCCTTTGGCTCGATCCACGCCGAGAACGGCAACGGCAATGGCTACGGCGAAGCTGACGAAGGTATCTTCACTTCCGATGGTCCCGTGCTGCCTCCGCCGACTGAGATGCAGGAGGAAGGTGCTGCTCTTTGCCTATTTCTCTTTCTTTCCGTCCCCGTCTATATATTAAATACCTCTTGGTCGGTCGTTTACTGTAACAAGCTGAATCAGAAGCTTGAAGCTCCAAGAATTTGTAGACTACGATCCAGGCGGTATTTTATTCTACGCCGGCGATGTGATTGATTGTCAAGACCTACACGTATTTATTAGTTTCGGGGATCGTTGGTCGGCGGTTGAGATCTTCTCAATTCAATCGAATGGCGGAGGACAAGTAGAAGAACCCCGCCGTGAAGCGGATCCTGCAAGAGGTGAAGGAGGTGCAGTCGGCTTCGATTTCCAGCAACAGCGAGAAGAGATCGAGAGACGGAGAGAGGGTGGCTGGGAATTGGAATTTTATTTTATTTTTTTAATTTTAATTTGTTATTTTGTGTTAGTTTACTCTTTTACCCTTAATGAATCTTGTTGTTAGTATAACAACACTATGAGTGTTGTTATACTATCCGCTCCCCTATTGGTTGGAGACTAGTGTTGTTACAATAACAACACAAGGGGTGTTGTCACACTATCTAGTCTCATTTGACTAACATTTATAATAAGGGGATCGATAGAATAACAACACACCTTATGTTAGTACTATAACAACAAGGGTATAAGGGTAAATTGAATAAAATAGAAATTTAATTAATATATATTTTCCCTTCTCAGCTTCCGTGTCTTGTAACTCCGCAACCCTCCCCCAGATTTCGGCAGTCCCTCTCATCGACGAGATCTACAGTAGCACTCCCCCACCTCCGCTGCCCATCGAAAACGCCTCTTTCGACTCCGACGACAGAAGCGCCATCCTCCTCTAATCTCAAACAAATTGTAGTCATTCTCATGCAACAAGCACGAATCAACAATCACATCTCTGATTTGAAGAATCCCGTCACCTCCGCCGATTTCTCAGGTACCGACCAGACAAATAGCCGCCCTGGTGATCTTCTCAGCTGCGATGTCCCCGATTACACCTTGCAGTAGTCCAACTCCTTTCTCCCTCACCGTTCCAGATTCGCCAAACAGATAATAGAAACTCCAAAATCCAAGGCGCTTTCAATCCAAAACCATAAATCTCATTCTCTTGCTCATTGATTGTGCTTCTGATTACAAGAAGCAGAGAGAAATCGGGGACTACCTGGTTGATTAATAACATTTATGGTGAAGAAGCCGATGTGGACGAGGAGGAGCATGAGGCGGCAGAGGGGTTCGGTTTTGGAATGGTCGACCTGGAAGGAAGAGACGAGTGTGGGCAAGGTGGTGGAAGGTTGATGTCATTTTTTGTAAATATTTGGCTAGCGCAGCGGTGATAAGCATCAGTGTTTATTGTTCAGCTTGTTGTTAGTTCTTTGAGAAGAATGTACCAAGTAGCAATTAAGTTGTTGTATCAAGTACCTGTTCCATACTAATTGAGTAATTGTTTATGTGCTTTTGATGCAATGTATCTAACCCAATCTTGACCTTCTTTCTCCTCCTGTCTCTTCTCTCACTGTCAACTATTCGTTGCTTAAGGTCCACTAGGGGTGGGCATCAGGTTCGGTAAACCCAAATCGAACTGAACCGAAATGAATTTAAACCAAACAGAAACCGAAATTTTTTCGTTCGGTTCAAAATTTGGAAGAAGAATATGGTTATTTCGGAAACCGGAGTGCTTTCAACCGAACTGAAATTTTAATTTCCGAACCGAAAACCGAAATATGTCACAACAGCCTGACCCAAAAGCCAATCTCCTACCCACAACCCACTGAAACCTAGCCCATCCTAGACAAAAACTAGCCCATACCATAAAAACTATCACAGTCCACCTCTCTCTTGCCTAGCCCATTGAAAGCCCAGCCCAGCTCACTGAAAACCCTAGGCAGCTCGGCTCACACAATATGACAATAACCAAACCCCCATCCCACCTTAGATATCACACAGCGGCCGCCACCGCACCACCTCATCATCCGCCATCAAATCGCTCCACCATCTCCACCATGTACACTCCACCTCATCCTCATCCACCTTGTCGTCCACAAAATTTTTGAAAGCACATCAGAAACCTACTAATACAAACCACAAACACGGTAAAGCAAACCACAAAAAGCAAATCAGAAATGTTCTAATGCATACCACAAATATATGAAAACAAACCAGAAACCTCGCAAAACAAAACCTCAAAGTTTTTGAAAGCACACCAGAAACACGATAAAGCAAACCATAAAAGGCATACAAAAATACGACAAAGCAAACCATAAATCGCACAATGCAGACCATAATATCTGGTGGTCGTTGACCGGTCAACAAAAACCATTGACCAAACTCCATTGATCGTCGGTGATCGGATTTCGACGCCGATAAACATATTCCGGCCCCGATGACTAGATTCTCACGCCGGTAAGCATATTCCGACCACGATAATTAGATTCCGGTGACAGTGAGCATATTCCGGCAACTAGATTCCAGAGACTAGTGGCCAAATTCTGGCGAAGAAATTTTGGGCAGAAAATAAAAAAATATTTTTAAAATATTCAATATTTTTTATTTTATATTATTTAAACATAATATTTTTTTATTTTTAAACATAATATTCATAATGACAATTATACCCTTGCTTTGATTTTACATTAAGTCAACTTAACTAATAAAAAGTCATCACAACCCTAGTTTCCTATTGGTTGAAAACTAGTGTTGTTACCCTAACAACACAAGGGGTGTTATACTGACTAGTACTGTATTTGCATCAAAATTTTTATTACTTCATCAATCTTTGTATCGAGTGAACTGACGCATTTTGCGACTGTAATACAATTGCTAATTTATAATATGTATCACAATATCTAATGAACCAATAACTATGGTCCAAAAATATTCTTTATTGTCCACTTTTACAAGTAGCGGTTAAGAAACAATGTTTTTCATGTAAAAATATGTGTGAATCATTCAGGTGACCCGCAATCCACCCACCCGAATAAATGTCCATAGGAAATTTATAAATTCGCAATCCATCCACATCAATAGCCCACTCACTACAATTTAAATTATTTACGGATGAATTGTTATCAAACCACGGATTAACCACCACGTGCCCACCCAAGTATGCTATCGATCCGTCTGGCAAGGATACTTGTGAGAACCATTTCAAACAGTCCAGATTAAAAAGCACGATGACAACTGACATGGAGTGCCAATATTTCATGGGCTTGAAAGTAAGGATTAAAATATTGTACCGGAGGTCGTACCGGAAAAGTTAGCGGTAGGTATTTAATGTTAAAATCATGGTTTAACCATTATTCAATCAGATTATACCACTAAATACCACCTACCGATTTTGCTTCTGTTAATAGGTTTTTCAGGTCGAACCGTTGATACGATATGGTATTTTAATCCTTGCTTGAAAGTGAGTCTTGGTTGGCGGTTGCCTTTGACTCTTAAGTGAGCCAAGCGCTGAGGAACTGGGGAATACAAAAAAGTAATAAGAGAGGCACACAGACTAATCAATCGTATCGGTCGTATTCTTGAATTTGGAATGAAAAGAGGAGTAATGCTTCCTAGCACGGGACAGAGAATAGGACCACTTAGATCAGACGTGAGCAGTGTCTCCGCTGGCAATTTATAAATTACTAATATGCTGCTCTGCGAGATCTTCACTTCCATCATACAACCAAAACCAGCTAAGGAAGGAGCGAGGCGAGATCCGGCAGCGGGTTACCAGAGCATTGAGTTTTCTGTGCCAGCTGCCGCGGTAATACAGAGGATGCAAGCGTTATCCGGAATGATTGGGCGTAAAGCGTCTGTAAGTGGCTTTTTAAATCCGCCGTAAGCTCCAATTGCATCATAGGAATTACAAAACAACGGTTCTTACGTATATTTATTGTTATTCGTGAGAATTCGTTTCCGGTATACGAGGTCTTGTCTCTTTACAGTAAGCAGTTTTGGTGCTTTGGGCGCGGCACTAGTCTGACTGTGCTTTCCTAGCCAAAGGCTATTCAGGATCTTATTTTGCCAGGAATAGGGCCTCACGTACTGAGAGGCAGGCCCTTGTACCATGGTTAGTTTTTGGCTTGCTTCAATGATAGGGGGAAGGGGAGAGGTGAGGAGGGCCCCTTTCATTTAATGCCTATTGGTGTTCCAAAAGTACCTTTTCGAAATCCTGGAGAGGAAGATTCCGTTTGGATTGACGTATAGTGCGGCTTGTCAGATATATTGGGTCATATGGGATTTTCCCGTTCTCTCCCGAGGCGATTTTTCAAGAAATCGCTCGCGTTTTAGCAAAAGCTGCGCTCCGCGGTCGTATCGATTGGTTGAATTACCTATTGTTAATCATGGCAATGGGACGGGCGGGTATCTCAATACCCATGTTTCGATCCACGCTACTATGGGTCATGGCGGATAAAACCAGCGCAGATATGGGATGGGGGTCGACCCACTCTTATATGTTATTTGATAAAAACACATGCAAAATTTACTTTTTACGATAAAATGATGAGGAAACACTTTATGAATGAAAAATAGTAATAATAGAATGTTTAATTGAGTCTAACTAGTGGAAGAAAAGTCAAAATAGGAGAAATTGAGGTAGAATGAGCCAAGAACATGATAGGGCGGGACAAGGCGGGTCGAAAGTAGTATCCATGTCTCGTCCCACGCTACTGCGCGTCGGTAATACCCGTGGAACGGGTTAAAATTGCCATTACTACTATTTGTAACAAATACACTTTTCCGGGTGCTTGTAATTTATGTAACTGGACAGACTAGAATGCATTTAGGAATTGAGAAAAAGATATAAGGACTTGAGAAGAAGAATTGAGAAATGAGATAAAGAATAACATAATTAGGAATTTAGAAGAGATTAGGATAAGAAGAATAAAAGAGAAGAGGGATAAACGTAATAGGATTTGTCTATTGATTAGTTCTACCGTAATGCCCAAAATACATTTACTGGTTGGAATTTTTTCATATTTAACATTTTTATAAATCTTTTCAATATATTAAATCGTGAACTGAACTAACCTTAAACTTTACTTAATTTGTCAAATCTAAGAGTTAACTGTTATGTTGGATGGTCAGTCCGTCATGTTACTGCTCGGTTGACATATTTGACTTAAGATTTTAATACTTTCCACAAAATAACAATTTCCTATTTAATACGATAAGAAATCTATTTATTGAATAGGAAAATTGGTATTTTGAGAAAAATGAAAGGGAGTTGATGGTTCAATAAAAATATTGTTTTATTATTATTATTATTTTCATTTTAGTCTAGTTTAGTGTTAATTCAGGCCACGATGTTATATATTGAAATTTTTTTGTTAGGATATTAAATATAGAAAAGTTCATACTAGACAATAATATTAACACTTTTTATATCGAACTGTACAACTTATATATGGTGATTGTTGTCAAAATTTTGGTATGTGTAAATACTTCCGTACATGTGGAACTACCAGGGGTATATCATTTCTAGGGTTCAGTTCACTTTTTCACAACTAGATTTTCATTTCCAGCTTACGAGAAATAAACACAATACATTGTTCTGCTAACAATTTACTTCATATTCGATATATTTCAAATCTTGCAACTTCATATCTGTTGGTCATACTATGATTAACAAGGATGATGTCTACTGAGATAAATAATATCGAGATATATTGAACTCTATCATAGACCAATCATTTTCTTTCATCCTTAAAGTTGATTACGTATGCATTGGAGGAATACCAATATTCAACTATATGACCACCTTAAGTAGTGAAAGACAATTACTTTTTTTTCTCATTGAATAATTATATTTGTTTCTTACATTATATGTCTCCTCTTCTTATTATACGGTAAGCACATTATGCATTATTGAACCACTGCCATAACTAAGATACAAATACACATTTTTAGTTTTCGAGTCGAAACTCTCCTGGCCAACGGCCCGGGTCCGGTGCTAGTAAAAGAGAATAAACGTAATAGGATTTGTCTATTGATCAGTTCTACCATAATGCCCAAAATACAGTTATATAGAAAATAAACTCAAACCCTAATAATAATCCTAAGTTCCTAACGCAATTTGTCCCACAATTAGCCGCTAACCCCCAACAACCAATTCGACCCATATATGACGAATGACGGAATGAGAGACAGAGATGAGTCTCAAAATTTTAAATTAGGCCAGACTAGACTAGTCATAATTCTGGGGAAGTTTCAAAATTCTCTCAAATCCCATAGCCCGCCAAAATTTTGGAGAAAATTTCAACAGTTTCAAGCCTGGTTTAGTTGGCCCGGGCTCACCTAAACCAGCCAAAACCTCTTCCCAAACCCAAGGCCAAGAACTCTGGACACTACTTTCAACCGTCATTGTGTGTCTTAATCTGGCAAGTTTGAGTTGGTTCTCACAAGTCACAAGTATCCTTTTGAGTTCCATAGCCAAATTGCCACACTAAAACATCCCAAAACTGAGAAGCAAGTTTAGAAGCAAAGAACACATGAGAAAGTTTTTCAATGTAAATCCCTACTTTGTTGTCATTTACCCTTTCTATGTCCTAGATGTACAGTACCTAATGCAACTCAGAAGATCAAACACATGAGAAACATTTTCAAAATAAGAAGAAAAATAACTGGAAATAATTAATAATCTCTACATGTGCTAAAAACATTTCTTCAGTTAGTCCATTTGTACGAGTGGTAAAAAAGTATTGACAAAATGACATTTGCGATTCCCTTCTGTAGAGTGCAAAATCATTTTGACGCAACCAAAAAAACCCTGTTGGTTGCAACCTGCAAGGACTAACGCTCACAACCACAGAAAAAACTATCTATTTAAAACTCTGAGAAGAACGTAACCGGAATCATAAAGACGTCGCTTTACCTTCCATGGCCATGATAGCGATACGGTATCAGTGGATACCAGTGACCAGGGAAGCCATAAAATTGGTTCGGGTAAACAACGGTAGCAGCAGCAGGTGGTCTAAACGGTGCTGTCAAAGGCACAGGCAGCTGAGGCAGCCGGAGCTTCGTGTTGGACACCAATGGCGGTGCACTACAAAGTCCGTTTCGTATGTCACTCATCCTACGACGCTTACATCGAGCACCGGAGCCCTGTCGCTGCCGTCGCTTACCAGGTTGTTCTTGTTGGTCATCGGAAAATATAGGCACGGAAGCAGGTTTTACTGCAGCAACGGGAACTTCTCGTTGTTGTTGGTAGTCGAACAATTCAGGCACTGATGGCGTTTCGCCAGGAACGGGTTCAGAGTTCTTCAGCGCTTGAAGTTTCTTCTCCAGGACAGAAATGTGATCTCTAAAGCACTCAGCCAAGGTTTGGTCCGTGATGGATTCAGCTACTGGTTTCCATACATTCAGCTCTCTGCCAATGGATACGACCTGCAGACCGGGAGTGAAATGAAGTGTTAAATATTAGAAAATTCAAGTATAGCTGATGTCCTTGGAAAAAGCTTTTAATCATATGTGCTGAGTTGCTGACTGACAACAACTACCTGCTCATCAGTGCCTTCAGTTCCACGCAACTTCTTTGGACATGTGTGCATGTAATTCTTCAGCGCGGTCCTTGCTGAAGGGGAACTCTCAAGCAAATTCGATATTTTGATACAATGCAGAGTCTCTAGAGGCAGCTTATTTCTCATAAGGTACTCGAGGAACTCTGTTCACAGTAAAATCCGAACTGTCAGCTTGATCAGAGATTGATAATAATCAGGATTCACACAGCTTTCTTGCGGAAAAGGACAAGAGACCTACTTGGGATAAGATCCTTGAAATCAAGAAGTCCGAATAGTTTTGTCCCATTTTGGCACCAATAAGAATCTTTACCAAAGACACTAAAAAGCTCGTCTTGGTCGAAATAGGAGACCAATTTGTAGGCAGCTAGAAACAGCAAGAAACAAACAGGTTCCAGGGGATTGCTCAGGTGCTTCGGAAATTTAGGTCTCCATTCCCTTGCAAAGCTAAGGGCTTCTCTCTCCACATCTTGATTAACATGGGGCGACATTCGCCGCAGGAGGTCCAACAATAACAACGGACCATGTTGTGGAGAAGCTAATCCGACTGCTCCACATCCCTTCTGCAAGGTCAGAGAGGACGGATTCTTTACTATACCTAAAACGAACTCTGTGGGATCAGATGCACGTTGAAGGGCAACTGAAATCTCACGGCAGCGTAACTGGTTGCCTTTGATTTTACTGCACACTGCCGTGAAAAGGTTGCCGTTTATTTTGAGACATCCGGGGACAAAAGCTGATCTCGAGGGCAAAGGAACCTTTTCGTAAAACTTGATGTTGCAGATGGCTGATCATACAAAGGGAAGAAGAACATATACAAAGGATTATAAGAACCTAGTCACAATAAAAATCTGTCTTCAAAGACGCTTATAGCAAATCCCTATGGCAAAAATGAAAATTTTTGGGGCAAGAATCTGTCTTTTATGATCTACAATTCATTTTGATTAACTAGTTGCAACCCAATTGGTGCCGCCAGTTGATCTTAACTTATCAATCCAAAGAGTAGCTTATGGTGGGGAGGAACTGGTGAAACTTAGTTGTGTGAGAAGTCCGATTGTCCAGATTCAGAGAAAATATTGATTCAAATTTGTTAAACAAAAACATGTCATGCAGAACATAGAAATTCTTCAATGAACTAATCAAATGAAGACTAGAATCCTGCATGAAGTGAAACATATTACAAAAGCTGATTGGTTTTCATCTACGACAACTACAACTGAAACAAATCCCAATGTAAAACTTGCCCCTGTTTGTGGCTGCAAACTGATGGACAAGTGAGAATACTCATTGCAGCTACCATAACAGTAGCATATGGAAGGGCAGCAAGGCTATACTTAAAACAAATATATACACTAGAAGGCTTACCTTGATCATTGCCATTGGATAACCTTTCTGACTGTTGATCTTGTATGTTCAACCTTTCTGGCTGCTGATCAGGAATATGCAACCTATCTGGCTGCTGAGCCGGTATATTTAACCTATCTAGCTGCGGTTCATGTGAACTTAGCCTTTCTGGCTGCTGTACATGTAAATTTAAAGCAGACTCAGGACCGAGATCGGGATATTCAGTGAGATCACTATATGCACATGCATCTGACCATGAAAGTTTAGCACCAGATAGAGTCCTTGAGACCAAAGGGATTGAGGGAGCATTGAAAGAGAATAAGATAGCTGGGTCAGTAAATGCTGTAGATTTATCTTCAAGTGAAGGACCCAAGCCGGTTACCTGATCGTCCTTTGGTGAGGTCGTCCATAGGAACTCAGAATGCAAATCAAAAGCAGAAATAAGGCTACCAGCTTCAGCCTGGCAGTTATTTTCAAGTAGTTTTCTAATAACACCTTCAGGGAAGAAAAAATTGCAGGTGCATAAATTCACATGAACACAAGAATCTGGCGTGAAATAAAAAGGTAATGAAACTATACATTTTCAGAAAGACTAGTACTTGCAAACTTACCAGACATCTTCTCAGCAAAACCAAGGTTTTGCAATAGTACTCGAACTTGGCTGTAGTGAGCAATAACACCAAATTGAATCACAAGTTCATCGACATCAAAAGCCGAGGCCAACCTGTATGCAGCCAAAAGCTGTAAAAATGCCAGAACTTCTAAGAAGTGGTCAACATCAGGCTTCATTTTTGTCATCCAATCTAAGGCTAGGCTCATTGCTTCATTTCTTGTGGTTGGTTTAATTTCTGTCGACATATTTGCTAATTGTTCCAGTAACATAATGCAGCTCTTCCTTACAACATCCACTTCAAACTCAATATCCCCTTTCTTCAAATGGGGAGGATAAAACCCTTGCATTGCATCCAAGACAAGCTTGGCAGGATCTGATAAGAGTTTGAGAGCATTCTGCACTTCGACTTTCAATGTATCAAGATCCTTATGACGCTCATTTAAGAAGATTTGCAAGTCAATTCCATTCATCTTCACTCCCGAAGAAAGTGACTCCGCAAGGTTTTTATCTACCAGTTTAGAATCTTTACATTCTTTCTCAAAATGCTTCTATTTCGAGTCCAAATCTTTCTCATTGATATCCATGTCAAGCTCAGGCAACATTTTCTCCCTCGCCTCGAGATCAACAGAGCCTTGTTGGAGTTTTAGTTGAAGCTCCACAGACTGCTTCTCTTTCTCCACAATTACCCTTTCTTTAACACCCCACCTACTCGCATCTTCCTTAAAGTTCATCTCTTTCTCTTTCGAATCCTCTAGTTTCTTTCGAAACCTTTCCTCTTTCTCCTCTATCTCCCTTTCCTTAGCTTGCAATTCACGTAAACAGTCCTCAAACTTCACTTGCTTTGCTTCGAACTCTACGAATCGCTCTCGAAAACCCATCTCCTTCTCATCGATTTCACTCTCTTTCTTGCTCAATTCAGCCAAACGTGAATCGAGTTTCACCTCTTTCATATAGAATTCATCCACCCTCTGTTCAAATTCCCTCTCCTTTTGTTTACATTGTGTTTCCGACTCATGGATCCCCCTCTCTCTAGCACTCAATTCACTTAAACGTACCTGGAATTCAGCCTGTTTCTCCTTGAACTCCGCCAATTGCTCCTCGAATCCCTTCTCCCGAATCCAGAAACGGCACAAGCATTTCTCGAGCACTTCTCTCTTCAGTTCAAGCTCCTTCTCCTTCGCCTTGCATTCCTTCCTCTTCCCCTCCAACTCTTCTTCAACCTCCCGAAGTCGAATCGTTCTTTCCTCAATGTAACTTCCCAGCGACTTGAAATCCTCCTCTCTTTCCACTAGCTTCCTCAATTTCGCCTCCACCGACGCCTTCTCGACCTCCACGGCGGCCTTTTCCGCCTCGAACTGTGCGGCGAAAGAAGCAATCCAGGTAGCGTAATCGCGGAGCCCGCCGATTGTGTACGGGGGACGAGGCTCGCCGCCTTTTCACACTGAGCTGAGACTGAAGCTTGGACGAATCCTTCTCCCTCCATTTGTTTTTCTGTCGCAAAGTGCTTTTTTCTTCTTCTTTTGGGTGCCGCGAGGGGGGTCCGGATCCTATCAGTAACCGACCTATCAGTAACGGTCAGTAACCGATGATCCGGCCGTCCATCGCGCCATCTTCCCAGCCGTCAGATCATGCCAGTTAAAATACACGCGGGAGCAAAAACGTAATCACGTCTCTGACAATTTGAATTGCAGACGTGACAGCGACAACCGTCCCGCCTTCTCTCCTTCTTCCTCTCACCTTTCAAGCGACAGTTCCACTTCCCTCTCTGCTCTCTAACTCTCCATTCTTCCTCCCGATTCTCAATTCTCTCACCAAAATCGCAGCAAAAACTTCCAGAAAAAACTTCAAATCGAACGATTTTCGCAAAGGTTTTCGAAGAATCATTCAACGATACACTGTTCTCGCTTCTTCGTCGAAAAACGAAGAGTTTCCAACTTCAACGAGGCTCAAAAATCGTTTTCGCACAAAATATCAAGGTAAAACCTCACTTCTTTCTTCGAAATCCATCCACAGAACAATAGAACAGTATCGCAGTCACTCTCCATGCGTTGCTGAACTGATGTAGAATCTGTTGTGTTTTGCTTCATTACCATATGGTAATGTGTGGTAAATTAAGATTGCATGTTCTAAAATAACAAAAAACCATAAGTCCTGCTGTGTTTTAGTTTGTTACCATATGGTAATGTCCGGTAAACTATGGTTTCATGTTGTAAAATAGCAAAAAACCATAAGTCCTGCTGTGTTTTGCTTCGTTACCATATGGTAATGTGTGGTAAACTATGGTTTCATGTTGTAAAATAGCAAAAAACCATAAGTCCTGCTGTGTTTTGCTTCGTTACCATATGGTAATGTGTGGTAAACTATGGTTTCATGTTGTAAAATAGCAAAAAACCATAAGTCCTGCTGTGTTTTGCTTCGTTACCATATGGTAATGTGTGGTAAACTATGGTTTCATGTTGTAAAATAGCAAAAAACCATAAGTCCTGCTGTGTTTTGCTTCGTTACCATATGGTAATGTGTGGTAAACTATGGTTTCATGTTGTAAAATAGCAAAAAACCATAAGTCCTGCTGTGTTTTGCTTCATTACCATATGGTAATGTGTGGTAAACTATGGTTTCATGTTGTAAAATAGCAAAAAACCATAATTCCTGCTGTGTTTTGCTTCGTTACCATATGGTAATGTGTGGTAAACTATGGTTTCATGTTATAAAATAGCAAAAAACCATAAGTCCTGCTGTGTTTTAGTTTGTTACCATATGGTAATTTGTGGTAAACTATGGTTTCATGTTGTAAAATAGCAAAAAAACCATAAGTCCTGCTGTGTTTTAGTTTATTACCATATGGTAATGTGTGGTAAGCTATGGTTTCATGTTGTAAAATAGCAAAAAACCATAAGTCCTGCTGTGTTTTAGTTTGTTACCATATGGTAATGTGTGGTAAGCTATGGTTTCATGCTATAAAAATGGAGGAAAACATACGTCCTGTTGTGTTTTACTTCGTTACCATATGGTAATATGTTATAAGACATGGTTTGATGTAATTACCATATGGTAAAATGAGATAAATATATGGTTTGATTTGGTATGGTAGGAAACCATTATGGTACCATATGGTATATCATGGTAAAAAGCACGCTAACAGACTATTCCTAATTTCTACATTCAGGTATACTATGGTAAAGCAAAGAAAAATTTTCGCACAAGGTGCAGCCCAACAAGAATATCTACAATTGCAAGGACTATAAAAGATGACCAGAAAGAGAAACTTGAGATATTAGGCCTAGCAGGCTTAATATCAATCAAGCAGACAAAGATAAACAACCATTTTGCACTGTTCGTAATGAACAAATACAATCCAATGAAACAATCTTTCAAGCTACCTGACGGGACACGCATGAAGATATCACCAATCGACTTTCATAGGGTATATGGTTTGCCAATGGGGAATAGGGAAGTTGTACCTCCCACGATTTCTTGGGACGACGCAGCAGATTATGCAGTAGAAACCCTACTGGAAGTAGATGGAAAATCCACTCCAAGGGTAAAGCTAAGTCAGGTAGAAAAAGATCTTTCTACAGTTACCAACAGTAAGAGATGGTTACAATTGTTCTTTCTGCTGGTCACCGGAGGCTTGCTGTGCCCAAGTTCAGCCCCTATGGCTGAACTCAACATGCTTGAGTACTTGAAGACTGATGAACAGAAACATTTCACCAGCTACAACTGGTGCAAATACTTCTTCAACCACATGAATGAAGGATTGAAATCACCAAAGCTCTACGTCAATGCAGATCTTCACTTCCTTACAGTAAGTCTCCATTCCCTTGGCCATTTCAACCTTGTTACTCATATATTTTATATATAAATGATACTCTTTGAAAAAACTAATACAACTATCTGCATAAAAAGGTATGCTTCATGTACAAACTGGACGAAATGGCATTCTCAACCCAGCTTCGAACACCAACAGTAAGCTACAATGATGATAACAATGTTGATAGCAACTTTGAGAACATTAAGAGCTACTACAATGGAAAAGAGTTGAACGAGATCGAAAAGGTTGCCAACATTAGAGACGATGAGGCTAATGATGAGGCTGATGATGAGGCTGATGACGCAGCTGATGAGGAAGAGGAGAATGAGCCAGTCTATGAATCACCGAAAAGACAAAGAAACAAAAGTCCAGAGCAGTCATCATCACTGAACTTTGATTTGAAGAATATCACAACAGTCAACCAAGTAAGTACAAATTATCTATATTACAGTTGTCCAATTCCAATTATCTATATTACAGTTGTCCAATACATGCTAAGCGTAAGTCCTGCTGTGTTTTAGTTTGTTACCATATGGTAATGTGTGGTAAACTATGGTTTCATGTTGTAAAATAGCAAAAAACCATAAGTCCTGCTGTGTTTTGCTTCGTTACCATATGGTAATGTGTGGTAAACTATGGTTTCATGTTATAAAATAGCAAAAAACCATAAGTCCTGCTGTGTTTTAGTTTGTTACCATATGGTAATTTGTGGTAAACTATGGTTTCATGTTGTAAAATAGCAAAAAAACCATAAGTCCTGCTGTGTTTTAGTTTATTACCATATGGTAATGTGTGGTAAGCTATGGTTTCATGTTGTAAAATAGCAAAAAACCATAAGTCCTGCTGTGTTTTAGTTTGTTACCATATGGTAATGTGTGGTAAGCTATGGTTTCATGCTATAAAAATGGAGGAAAACATACGTCCTGTTGTGTTTTACTTCGTTACCATATGGTAATATGTTATAAGACATGGTTTGATGTAATTACCATATGGTAAAATGAGATAAATATATGGTTTGATTTGGTATGGCAGGAAACCATTATGGTACCATATGGTATATCATGGTAAAAAGCACGCTAACAGACTATTCCTAATTTCTACATTCAGGTACACTATGGTAAAGCAAAGAAAAAATTTTCGCACAAGGTGCAGCCCAACAAGAATATCTATAATTGCAAGGACTATAAAAGATGACCAGAAAGAGAAACTTGAGATATTAGGCCTAGCAGGATTAATATCAATCAAGCAGACAAAGATAAACAACCATTTTGCACTGTTCGTAATGAACAAATACAATCCAATGAAACAATCTTTCAAGCTACCTGACGGGACACGCATGAAGATATCACCAATCGACTTTCATAGGGTATATGGTCTGCCAATGGGGAATAGGGAAGTTGTACCTCCCACGATTTCTTGGGACGACGCAACAGATTATGCAGTAGAAACCCTACTGGAAGTAGATGGAAAATCCACTCCAAGGGTAAAGCTAAGTCAGGTAGAAAAAGATCTTTCTACAGTTACCAACAGTAAGAGATGGTTACAATTGTTCTTTCTGCTGGTCACCGGAGGCTTGCTGTGCCCAAGTTCAGCCCCTATGGCTAGGGCTGCTAACCGGTAATCCGGTTAACGGGTTAACCGATAACCGTACCGGTAACCGCGGTTATCGGTTAACCCGTTAACCGAATCGAACGGTAAACGGATGGATTATTTGGGGGAACGGTGTACCGAGATCGAATAGTTACAATACCGTCGGGAGAGCGGTATTCCGATACCGATTTGGAGTGGAAGGAATCGCCAAACCCAATTAATTACCCAACGTCGGCAGCAACTAATCAAAAGTCCAAAGCCAAACCGAAGCCCTACCTTACCTAAGCAATTAAGTCTTTGCAGAGTGCTTGCCCTACGCCCCTACCCTGCTGCACGAGTCGAGAATTCGAGAACGAGTGAACGACTGCACAATCGTCTAGTCGTCTCCGTCGCCGGCAACAAGCTGTCAAACTCCATCCAAGAGTGACAGACACGACACAGTCCAGCAGACAGCAGCCGTCATCCTCACCGCCAGGCTCTGTTTCCGGCCAATCCTTCCGCCGTTGCCCTGTTCCCGTCGAACCCCGTCGTCGTCGATCGAAACAGGTAGGCGGTAGTATCTTCGTCGTCCTCGTCGCTGGCGCAACCTCCGGCCAAGAGACACGACCCAGGCACCCAGCAGCTCGCCCTTCGTCGTTGTCCCTGTTTGCGTCGAACCTCGTCGCCGTCTGAGGTTAAACACTCAATTGCACAGCCCAGCAGCTCGCCCTCTCCGACTCTCCGTCGATTTGAAAGGTAACTGGCGTGGCGTAGCCGAGTACGTATTCAATTCAATGGTCAAAGTTTGGATTTTCGCCATTATTTGTGCTCTGTGACTTTGTCGACTGTCGACTGATTTGTGCTCTGTGATGGGGCTCAACGAAGATAGTCTCTTGATTTGTGCAAGTTGATTAATGGAAAAGGGACAATGGGCATATGCGGTGATGGGATCGGTCAAATTGATTATATTATTCACCATGCATGTTTCTTTTATTCGTATAATTAACTCTTGTATGTAGTCTCTTGTATGTAGGCTCTTGGCCTGTTGCCGAGCAGAGAACTTCTGTTAGTTTTGTTGATTTTGTAATTTGTATTTTTGTACTTTTGTTGATTTTTACTTTTGTACTTTTGTTGATTTTTACTTTTGAACGTTTTGTTGATTTTGTAATTTGTACTTTTGTAGTTTTGTTGGTATTTGCATGGGTCCATGGTTTTTGTAATTTGTACTTTTGTAATTTTGTTGATTTAGGCTTGCTTGCAGGTGAAGCAGAAGGCAGATCCCCACAAAGTCAAGGGGTGGTTTTTGGTTTTTTGTTACTTGAGAAACAAAGTGAAAAATGTAAGATAGTTATTTAATGGTTTATGGTTGGGTGTTTTTTGTTTTTTGACATGTCGGCAATGGCATTTTAATGATATTTATTTTTGTATGTTTTTTTACTTTTTGTTATAGGACAAAACCTTCTCGTCCTCGTAAAGGAGATGGTCCGAAAAAAAGTGGTTCAGTTCCTCCTCGAACCACTTCCAAAAAATTGGGTACTCGTGTTGGAGTTGCAGAAGGGAATCAAGGGAATGTCTCATCTAGTACACCTACAACTACCACAGGCATTGAATCTGCACCTGCTACTGCTACTGCAACACCTGCAGTTGCTACGCCAGCGGATGGAGTTGGTGAGCCCAAGAAAAATGTCAAGGGACCGGGAAGGAAGAAGAAATCCCCGTGGTGGGATTATTATGATGATGCTCTGGTGGATGACTACCCATATGGTAAATGCAAGCAGTGTGGAACTTTGATAAAAGCTCACTCGATCAATAACGGGACTACTGGTTTGAAAAACCATCACTTGTCATGCGAGAGAAAGAGGAAGGCAGCCAGTGGTCAATCACTATTGAATTATCAGCCTGGTGATGGTGAGGTAGGCTCTCTTACTCCATGGAAGTTTGATCAACAAAAAGCTAGAACTGCATTAGCTGTAATGATCATCTTGGATGAGCTGCCATTTCGCTTTGTTGAGCATGAAGGGTTTAAGAGATTTATGGCAGTAACCCAACCATTGTTTGTGATACCTGGAAGACAGACAATAAGGCAGGATTGTTATATAATCTTTTTGGAGAAAAAAGAATTGTTATCTGAGTTCTTCAAATCCAAGTGCAAAGGAAGAATTTCTATCACCACAGATACATGGACTTCTGATAACAACCAGAACTTCATGTGTGTAACTGCTCATTTCATTGGAAGTGACTGGAAGCTGCAGAAGAGGATCATTAGCTTTGTTCCCATCACTAGTCACAGTGGGAAGGATATTGCAGAAAAATTGGCAGAATGTCTACATGATTGGAAAGCACAACATTTGTTCTCCATTACCATGGATAATGCTTCTTCTAATGATGTTCTTATAGACTGTATGAGAACAAAGATGAAAGAATGGGGAACAGATTTGCTTGGTGGGAAGTATTTGCAATTTCGATGTGTGGCACATATAATCAATTTGGTTGTGTCAGATGGGTTGAAGGAGGTTGGAGTTGCTGTAGAAAGGGTTCGAGATTGTGTGAAATGGGTGAAGTCATCACCAGGTAGAAGTGCAAAGTTCAAATCTGCCATTGAATATCTACAAATGGATGGAAGAAGACTTGTATCTTTGGATGTTCCAACTAGGTGGAACTCAACTTATTTGATGTTGGAATCTGCTGAAAGGTTTGAGCTTGTTTTTAACTTCTTGCATGCGAGCCCCAATGATTCTGCTTTTCGGGATTATGTGGACTCAAAGAGAGGTCCTCCAACTAAGGAAGATTGGAGCAGTATTCGGCGGCTAATGAAGTATTTGAAGTTCTTTTATGAGCTCACCTTACGGGTATCGGGTATGTGAACAGAACTCCACCTATTCAAATTCATGGTTTTTACTTTTATTAACTTGTAATATGTGAATAATTTGTTGTTATTTTTTGATGTATTAGGAACATCTTATGTGACTGCTCATACTTTCTTCAAAGCTATTGCTGACATCTATGAAGTGATAGA